TGTGTGAATAATATGGGAGCTAGTAGTGGTCCCAAATTTCTTAACAGGGGCATGGTTTCACGTGAGTTGTATTGGACAACTGGCCAAGTGATGTCAACATTTTCGTCTTGTGTTGCGTCAGACTTGTGAGATAAAAACTCGCTTTGGTAAGAAAATTTGTTCCTCACTATCGTCGTCATCTGTTCCACTGGCCCTAGCAAATTAATTTGTCTCGGTAAATAAATTATTCCTTAGTCATTTCTTGCATCATCACAACCAATAAACAACCCTTCTCCTTAGTAGTATCAGTTTAGTCAAATAAATTTTGCCTCGATAGAACTTATCTAGCACATGCAAATATGTTCTAAATGCAACTATATGCAGCTAAATGCTATGTCAAGGGCTTTTAGACAATCAATAACTTAAGAACTCCAATTTGATCGGGGATTGGATCTTGTGGAAGGGCTCAAGTAATGGTTGTTTCTCAGTAAAATCGATTAAAAGTACTCTCAGTAATTCTGGCGATCATGAGTTTAATTGGAATTCGTTGGTGTGGTTTGGCGTTAGCCCACCTAAAGTGGAGGCAATTGTTTGGTTGGTGTTACGTGGTCGGCTCCCGGTCCTTAAGGAGTTGGCTAAAAGGGGCTCCCTACTTGATAGTGGCATACTTTTTCCTCTATGCAAGTCGTCCGCTGAATCGATGGAGCATTTATTTTTCTCTTGTCTTGGTACCTGGTCTGTTTGGTCGAGGATGGCAGCCTATTGGGGCCTCTCATTAGTTTTTTCGGGTTCTCCGAAAGTGTTTCTTTTAGCTTGACAGGGTGCTTCGTGCCACACTAATGGTGAGCTGGTTTGGTCCTTAATCCCATCGATTATAATCTGGTCTACTTTGATGTTAAAAAATGAGATTGTCTTTAAAAGTAAGGTCTTTGACGTTCTCCAATTGCTTTTCATTGTTAAATATCGCTTGGCATGGTGGTTCAAAGCCAAATTCCCTTCTTGTCCTGTCTCGGTGGATAGTCTTATAGATGATCTGGCGTTGCCTGTTTCTTCTCCCATTTTGTCAAGTTTTAGTTTTGTTGTGTTCATGTGGAGACCTCTTCCGCTGGATTTCCTTACTTTTAATATTGATGGTGCTTGTAGCAAGGTTAATGGGATGTGTGGAATTTGTGGGGTGCTTAGAGATCATATTGGGATCTTTTTGATGGAATTTCCTTCATCTGGTGGTTTAGGGACTGCCTCTCTCGCCCAACTTTTGGCAATCAAATTTGCCATCCATGCTTTCAACTTATCGGTTTGGGTGTCTTCTTTTCGTCTTATTATCGAGTGCAATTGGTTGACTATTGTGGATTGTGTGCAAGTTCCTTCAAAGTCTAATGTACTGTTTTCAGATTTTCTTAAATTCTGTCATGAGCAGATTCATAATAGCTGCTGGTTCATCGTACACATCACTCGGGTAATGAATATAGTCGCAGACTCGCTGGCCAAAGAAGGATTAGATCACAGTGAATTACTTTTTCATACCTATATTTAAGTAATGTTTTGTTTGGAATTTTCTGAGTGTTGCAGCCGTGTCTTGGCTAATAGGGTGAACTGTGTTTTTTTTCCCCGAGTTGGTGGTTTGCTCAGTCAATTGATTTGCGCGGGATGCGGTCGTGGTTTGCTGCTTTGTTGTTTTGGGTCTGTTGTGTTACGCTATAAGGGTTCTTATGTTTTGTCTCTTGATTAGCTCTATTGAAGTGTAGTGATCTTGTGCTGGGCGTGTAGGCATCTTATTCTTTGAAGTTGTTTTTGTGGTTAGCTATGTCCATTTTGGTTATGCTACTGGTAGAACTCTTGCAGGTTGTTGGTAGCCCTCTTTGTGTTCTTGTTTGGCCTATAGGTTACTTCCCGTTAACCTGTAATGAACCTTTATTTCATATTAATTTATTGTTGGACACTATTTTCCCCTTCCTCATAACTTAATCGAGTCTCAGCTTGATTTGGTTATGAGGGTTTTTAACGTGGCCCATTTACTTGAAAAAGTAGATGGGATGCAACGCAAGCTAAAGCAACATAAACAAGAAATGGAGAATCGAATGAACAACATTGAATCAAATATGGATGATAATCATGCTAACCTAAAATAGAATATTGTGAAGATTCTGAGGTTACTAGCAGGGAAGGAGAAAGAACCACAAAATGGAGGTCAAGTATCTCATAATGCCCAACCTAACAACCCATTCAAATCACTATCATTGATGAATATGAGAGGTATTCCTTTAAATTTGGAGAACTTGATATTTTGGCTCAAAAACCAAATATTTTTCATAACAAAATAAATCATTCAATCAATCTAGAACGAAAATTGAAGCAAGTCCTGCTGAACCTGGTTGCAAGGATGAATCGTTTCTATTTAAAAGGCCATTTCAACAGACTTTTCCAAACACATATATTGCTAAGCCTAAGATAAAGCTTTAGATGTTTGAGGGTGTCAACCCTAGAGGTTGGGTTAAAAAATACCATAAGTACTTTGCATTGTTTGATATTCCTGAAAATTAGAAAGTAAAGATGGCAGCTATGTATTTAATTGGTAGGGTAAAAATATGGTTTGATGGGTATATAATGCAAAGGCATAGAGTTTCTTGGAAGGATTTTGCTATTGATTTATGCCATCGATTATGTGATAAAGAATACACAGACATTACAGAAGAATTCAACAAACTTTTTTGGAAGACATCAGTAGTGGAATATTAGGAAAAGTTTGAGGAGCTTAAGCCCTACATGCGATAACATAATCTCAATTTGGAAAAGATCTATTGTTTCCATCTTTATTAGTGGAATCAAAGAAGAGATTAAGCACATAGTCAAGATACAACAACCTAATTCATTAACAAAGGCATATAGACAAGTAAAGTTCATTGAATTGTGTTTGGAATTAGAGACTAAAAGGTACATAAATTTCCCTAAGAGTAGTTCCACAATTATTTATAATCAGAACCAGCGAACTTACTCAACTTCTACGACTACAAAACCCTTCAATCAACCACAACTAGCAAACAAGAAAACTTTGATTGATTACATGAGGGCCAACAAGTTATGCTTCAGGGGTGGTGAAAAATTTACTCCAGGGAATCACTGCAAAATGAAGCAACTTAACTCTATGGAGAGGAGAAAGCTCCTTAATAATCAAAAAAGTTGACAGTGCAATTAAGCGCATGCATATCTTACAAATCAAACTTCCTCACTTTAATCAAAAACACGCTAAGACTAAATACTTACACCTCTCAGTGACAATATATAAACTAATGTAAGGACAAAATTCCAACTTTCGTTGAATCTAATGTGACTCTCATAACAGTAGGTCGCCAATCCAAATTGTGACTGTACCTTTCAATGATTGTGACAACAATAAACACTATCATGCTTAAAACATTCGAATTTAAAGATTAAATGCAATTAAATCTATATTTATAAAATATCATTCATCAAATTTCATAAAGTATTCTCATATTTAAAAACTCAAAATAAAATCAATAGCGTTTAGCACAAAACATAATCAAAATAGTGGGAAATTATCCCTAAATTCGCTTGACTCGCCCTTGATGATGCTCCTTGCTCGCATGCTGCCGTATTGATGCTCTCACAATTAGTAGGCCTTTAGTTCTCCTCCAAATACCCAGGGTAGTCTAAGTGGCCCATGGCCATGGTGCGAAAGGATTTTGCTAAATAAGATGAAGGATTGCTGAATGAGAGAGAAAGCAACTCTATTCTTCCTTGTACTTTTATATTCTTTAGCCAGGTGTCCTTTCACATAATCAGTGTGAATGGTATAATAGGTAGTTTCCCTCCAAGACAGCTCTACATTTTGAAATCTTTCTAGAAGTTCATTATCAGCTAGGTAATTGAAGCGACACTACCAAAATTTCTGTAACGACGTTCCCTAAATATATCTTCACAACTGAAGCAACGAAACTAAGCACATGGTATAAATCCATTTATCATACAACATGCCCATTGAGTTGATTTACTATGAAAAATGATATTATGCGAATGTAGTGACAATAAAACTAAAAATGTAATGTGGTTACATGGAATGCAGTGACAATAATGCTGAAATGCACATAAAATGGGACAATTTACTCCTTAAGATGGGGGTAAAACACGTCTTTCTGAGTACTATTACATCCCCACACTTGAATTTTTACTTTTCCTCAAATAAAATAGAACAATACAGTCAAAAAATAGTTTCTAATATGGGGTTTCTCTCAGTGCACATTGGAGGGGCTAATGGCTTTTGAGAAATCTGCCGCTTTGCTTCCGGCGTTCCGTTCGTCTCTTCAAAGTTTTTCTTCTCTCACTCACTCACTCTTCTCCAGTCTGTTTAAAACCCCTTACAATTTTTGATGGACTGGCATAAGCTGTTCTCGTGCCCCACTGGAAATCAATTGCAATACTTCCCCCCAAATTCTCGAGATGGAATTCCAACTGTCCATCCATCTCCAGAAGTGTTCGAAGGCGGTATTGCTGAATGGAGTCTTTCGCTTGTTGGAAAATTCTTAGGAGCTGCTCCCAAACTCGCTTCTCTGCAACAGATCCTTGATATTCTGTGGAGAAAACCCTTACAAGGAGCAAAACTGCAGGTCAACTATACAGGTAACAATCTTTACCTATTTTCGTTTAGTTCGGAACAAGCACGAGATTGGGTATTGGAGAATGGCCCATGGCACATCTTCAACAAACCCCTAATCCTAAGGAAATGGGTTCCTAACATGGCAAAGCTGCATCTCGATTTATCTAGAATTCCAATCTAGGTACACTTATATAATGTTCCTTTAGAATTATTTTCATGCGAAGGCCTTAGCTATATTGCAAGTGTCATAGGTTACCCCCTCTCAATGGATTTTATCACTGCCACAAAATCTAGATTAGAATTCGCCAAAGTGTGTGTTGAAATCGGGGCGTTAGATGCTATTCCTGAGTCTATTGATGTGGTTCTTAATAACGGCCAAACAACTTCGATTGCTGTTGAGGTGTCGTAGATGCCTCCAAGCTACAAATTCTGCAATGTGTTTGGTCATAGTGTTAAAGGGTGTAAGCATAATCCTAATTCTCAAGCTTCAACAATGGCCTGGAGGAAAAAAGATACTGTCACTCCAGCCACCACGGTTCTAGAAGTTGTTCATCCTGAAGGAAATCAAATTTTAAAAGCTGATGGTTCGAATGTTTCTTTGATCCAATCATTAGAGGATAATGTTACAGGAAACCAAATTTTCATAGGGGCGCAACATTTAGTAAGTGATTCTGATATCTCGGGTGATTCCATTAAACCAGATTCCCCCACTGTCATCATTCAAGGAGCTTATTCTGATCTTAATGTTAATGCTGAAGAAAACCCGAAACTAACAGATCATCCAGGCAGTTCTGCTGATTTCATTCTGGAATGTAAGAGGATTGAATAATCCTCTAAAACAAGGCCATGTCCTTCGAAGGGCAGCCCATAATAATGTAGATATTCTCTGTTTGTTGGAAACTAGAGTGAAAGCTGAAAAATCAGTAAATATTTTAGCTACTTCTTTTGAGAATTGGAATGTTCTCACCAATTATGAATTTGCAGTGAATGGTAGAATTTGGTTTCTGTGGAGGAATGGACTGGATTTCTCCTTATGCAATGAAACATATCAGAGTATCACTGTCAAAGATCGGTTTAAAAATGTTTCTTTCATCATCACCGCAATTTATGTTAGTAATAACAGTATTACTAGAAGACAACTTTGGCAAGAACTCCGACATCTCGATTCAAATTTCAGTGATATACCTTGGCTCTTGGGAGGGGATTTTAATGTTATCTTGAACAATTACGAAAGCAATGACCAAGAGTTTACGGGTATGTTCACTTCTTCTGATATGCTAGATTTTTAATAAATCATTCAGGACTTACAGTTACATGATCACCCTTACTTTGGTCCTACTTTCTCTTGGAGAAACAAACAAAGTGAAAATTACATTGCTCGAAAGCTTGACAGAGTTCTCACCAATCCCATTTGGTTCGAATCTTTTCCTCACTCTTCTGTGGAATTCTTAGCTCTTGGTCCTTCTGATCATTGTATGGCAGTGGTTGATCTTCACAAAGAGGCTCATTCTAATAAACCCAAACCCTTCAAAATTTTCAACTGTTGAACACTTCATCCCGGGTTTCTAAATATTGTTAGTCAATCATGGAGTTTGGCAGCTCAAGGCAATCCTATGAAGTCTTTATTCTTAAAGCTTAAGCGTCTCAAAGTTAGCCTTAAACAGCTCAATAAAGACTACTTCAGTGACATCACAGCCCGAGTTAGGAAAAAGAGAGAAGAACTTGAAAGGTAGCAAATTCTTACTTTAAGAGGAGTTGATTCTTTTGATAAAGAACTTGAGATGCAGAGAGAGCTCAACTCTTTACAAGAAGTTGAGGCCATGTTCTTAAAACAAAAAGCTAAATTGCATTGGCTTAAGGAGGGTGACAAATGTACAAAGTTCTTTCACTCGATCATTGCTACTAAGAATAAGAGACAGACTATAAGGGTTCTTGTCAACAATCGGGGGGAAAAACTAGAATCTTTTGATGATACGTCTTTGGAGATATTAGAATATTTCAAAACTCTATTAGGCTCCAAGGACCCTAATGTTATAGAATACCCTCATACACTTCTTAAAGATCTGATACAGCCTATTCCTTCTTTTGAAGAATCCGAAACTCTTATCAAGGAAGTTACTAGTGATGAGATCAGAGAAGTTATTTTTAGTCAAGGAAATGAAAAAGCCCCCAGTCCCGACGGATTTACTGCTCTCTTTTTCAAGAAAGCTTGGCCAGTGGTTGGTAATGATTTTATTAAGGCTATTAAGTATTTCTTTCAAGAATCTTATATCTACCCAGCCTTTAACGCAACCGTTATTGCTTTGATTCCAAAAAAGCCGAATCCTAGCAAAGTTTCTGACTTCCGCCCAATTTCATGTTGTTCTGTTATTTATAAGACCATCACAAATATTATTGTCAACATAATTACGAATTTGCTGCCAAGGATTATTGCGCCTAACTAATCTGCCTTTGTCAAAGATAAGAGTATAGTTGACAATACTATTCTCGCTCAGGAAATTGTTAAAGGATATGGGAGGAAGAACATTTCGCCTAGATGTGCACTTAAAATTGATCTTCAAAAGGCTTTCGACTCCATCAATTGGGACTTCATTCAGGCTGTTCTTAAAGCTTTGGATTTACCTCCTTTAGTCATTGCATGGATTGTATCTTGTTATACAGATGCTATATATTCTATTTCTCTCAATGGAAGATTGGTTGGATATTTCAAGGGAGCCAAGGGAATCAGACAAGGAGACCCTCTATCCCCTACGTTGTTCATTCTGGTAATGAATGTCCATTCTAATATTCTCAATAATGCTGCTATCAGATGGATTTTTGCCTTTCATCCTAAATGCAAAAAAATTAGACTTACTCACTTGTCATTTGCTGATGATTTATTAATCTTTTGCAAAGGAAATCTTGAGTTTATTATGGGTGTCATTACTGTGTTGGACTGTTTCTATGAGTACTCAGGGTTGAAGCTTAATGTAAGCAAATGCAAGATTTTCACTGCTGGTATTTCTGCTTATAACCTTGATTCTATCATCAACTATTCTGGTTTTAAACATGGCAGACTGCCTGTACGTTACCTGGGTGTTCTGCTTGTCACAAGAAAGCTAACTGACAAAGATTGTCAAGCACTTCTTCAGAATATCAAGAGCAGACTTCATCAATGGTCTACGAAGAAAATGAGCTATGCAGGTAGGATTGACCTTATTAAAACCGTTCTCTACAGTGTTGCAAATTTTTGGTGCAGGTAGCTTATATTACCTCAGTCCATTATCAAGAAGATTGAACAATTATGCTCTAGATTTTTCTGGAAAGGCTCGAACATTCCTTCATCTGGTGCAAGGGTGAGTTGGGGGAACATATGTAAGCCTAAATCTGAAGGAGGCCTCTGACTAAAGGATCTCAAGACCTAGAATAAGGCTTGCCTAATTCATCTTACCAGGAAACTACTCGCGGGGGAAGGCTCTCTATGGGTTGCGTGGATCCATAACTATATTATTAAGCAACAAGATTTCTTCACCATGGATGAATACCCGAGTGCTACTTGGTCCTTCAGGCGAATGCAGAAACTTAGAAGTGTTGCTCAATCACTTCTGATCACAACAACAAAAAGTACAAAAGAAATATGGGAAGTGATCCGTCATAAAGATACTAAAGTCCATTGGCATAAATTGATTTGGTACCCTCTCCATGTCCCGAAGTATAACATTATTTCCTGGATGGTAATTTTGAATTGCCTATCAACGAGGGACAGACTGCAAAGATTCAGGCTCGTTACCAGTGATCTCTGTATTTTCTGCTCGGATACAAAGAAAACTAGAGACCATCTATTTACTGAGCACTCGAAGACTACTTTTATTTGGAGATCAATCCTCCAACTGTCCGATTTGAACACGCATTTCTCAACATGGAACAACCTGCTGGACTGGGCGATCGCATCATGGAAAGGTAAATCTTGGATTTCTAGTATTTTGAAGCTCTCATGGTGCTCCTTCAATTACACCATTTGGGAAGAAAGGAATAGAAGGATTTTTAGAGGAAGTTGCAGAACTGAAGAAGGAATTGTCAATGCTATTAAGGATATAGTTGGATCCATTCTAAGTAATAGGGATATTAATAGAAGAGATAGCAGAAATTTAGCTCTTTGTACTCATTGGGGTATAGACTAGTTTTGTTGTTTGTTGTTCCCCGTCCTTGTTCTATTGATTGAATTGTTTGGTAGTAACTTACAGTTACTTTGGGTAATAAAAATTTAATTATCCAAAAAAAAAATAGTTTCTAGTAGGGCTAACATTTTACACTTACAGTCACACATTCTAGCTACCTAAATTAAGCAAATTCCTAATAAATAAGTCATATTCATAAAACCAACAATTGCATCAACAATTCTCGTAAGTGAATATCATAGATTGCAATTCATAGATCCTTACATCATACCCTAAATTTAATTTATTGAATACCAAGCACAAATTACTATGCTAATATATATAATAACTAGCAAACTCATTTATAAGACAATAAAGAGATATCTAGATTTAGAGTACCTTAATTCCTAAGAAGTAACAATGGTTTTCAACAAACCCCCAGGAGGTAGACTCATTGCATCGACACACACTCTTACAGCGATAGCTTTTGGCATGACTTTTGCTTGTAGTCACTAGTAGAAATACCCCCTTTAATGACGCGCATTGCGCGTCATCTATGGGTGCGGATGACACACAAATGCCTGTCGTTGAAGCCACCGATATGAATTATTGATGACGTGCAATTGTGTGTCACTATGACGTGCATTTATGACACGCATTGCGTGTCATTGAAGCCCCCATCATAAATGAAGATGATATACATTTATGTGTCATAAATTTATGACACGCATGTATGACTTACATTGTGTGTTATTGAAACACACGTCATTAAAAAAGATGACACACATTCTCGTGTCGTGATTGTAATTCGTAAATTATATATATATATATATATATATATATATATATTGTAGATTGAAAAATAATCAAACTAAATCACATTTAATGCCTCATAATACTAAATATATATATAATATTATATATAAGCAATCCATTTGCATACAATATATTCGCATTAAGTTATCAAAAATATTGTAATCATATGTGTCGGTACAAAATATCACGACATAATAAAGTTTGTCACATAAGATTCCTCAAAACCCTATACAAATATAACGGGATTATGTTCTGTCAAAATGAAGAGAAGAAACTATTATTCATCTCTTTGATATGCCATTTGCTATAATAAATAAAATGCATGTGATCAACTCAAGAGAAGAAACTATCACCTAAGAGGCTGATGTGTATCCGTCGCGATGTGCCTTTTTCCATCTCCATGCATTCTGTAAACTCTCCTGGAGATCGGTAAATCGAGCTGTCCAATTCAGCTCCTGCCTTATCTTAGTTGGATCACTAAACACTTTTGCATAGTCTCCAGGTCGGCGGGGGCATATAGTCGACTTTGATCTTCACCCCAGTGGCTTTCTTACATGCCTCCACAAACTCCTTCACAGATCTACCTCTTTCGGTGCCAACATTGTAGATTTCCACTTTATGGGGCTTTGCGTTTTGAAGATCTTTCACATGAGCATCGACCAGGTCAGTAACGTCGATATAATCATGAATGCAAGTCCCGTCGTGTGTTTTATAGTCCATTCCCTTGACCTACACGAAAATCACAATAACCATAACAAAGTTCACCAAAATCAATTTGAAATCATAAAGGCAAAACTATGGACATCTTGTGTGACAAGTGTGATAACATTATAAAAGTTACAAGAACAAAACAAACATGCAAAAAGCACATACAAAGTACAATTGTAGTAATTAATACACAAATTATTTTATCATATACACAATCTTTTTCACTCGAGAAAATGCATCATTGTTAAACATGTGGAATGACAGATAATCATAGTTCAGTCCAAATCTTTCAAATCTTCAATGAGCTTTAAGATCTGCCTAACGTATTAGGCAGATGCTTGCAAAGGTGATGTCAGCATAAAAGAAAATTAAATTAGATACACAAAGCATCCAGTTATGCAAAATCATCATCTATAGTAAACTTGTTTCAAGGAAAAGATGAAAATGTAGACATTATAAATGATCATAGATTTTTTTCTAGTAGCTGTCAAACTTTAGAATCACTTATATATACTTTTGATTCTAATGAACTTTACTTGATACTTACACACATAAAATCAATGATTTGATTGAACGCATATTTGCACTTCAGTATACTTCTTTGCACTTCCCATTGTTAGGAAGAGAATACATTCACAAAATTATCCAATTTCACATCAGCAATATACACATGGCCTTCAAGAAAGTATCTGTGGAGTTCACAATCTTCCTAAAATAATGAAGTGTTCTCTACATTGTCTATACATGACTAGTTGTTTACGTCTTGACCCCAGGTGTAGCTGAAATACGTAGCAATCATTAAAGAATCATAGTGAAGGGATAAAAGGAATAACACACCTTGAGACCAAGAATAATACCACGAGCTGCATCAAAACAAGCAGCTGAAATTCGTCCATGCTCACGCTACTCAGGTCTGGGAGCCTCACCTAATCTTCCTTCAGGATCTGACCCGATCACATTGAAGTATCTAAAATTCACAAAAATAAATATGAATCATAACCTTATCAAATTCCTTTTAATGTTCAAGTTTTTAATAACAATAATAATATATTAATAGGAGAGCATATTGTTGGACTATCAGCAATTGTGGTCAGAACTCTACACATTGAATATGATAGTAGAAGCCCTTCAAGGTCTACAAAGTTCATCAATCCTAAATTATTCTGAACTAAGCTACCCTCTATGGTTTCCTTGTAATCTAGAACTACAAAATGACTGTGTTAAAAATAGGACTATGTAGACCTTGCATGTATGTCTTATATATGCAACAGTTGGCTGGCAGAACAATGAAAACTTATCAACTAACTCCCTCTAATGAGAAAGTATAATGATCTAAAATACATAGTTTTGGTTTAAGGCATGGAAGACTTCTGGGATGCTAAGTTGATAAAATTATGCATATTGAGAAAAGAAAACATAGAGTAAACTCAAAGCTCCTAAAACTAAACTAAATAAAACCTTAGGATCATTACTGCCATGTCTGAATTTTTAGAGAAATCCATGATGATATCTTCTGCCATCTTCTTAGCTTTTCCATATGGATTGATTGGAACCTGAGTTGGTTCCAAAACGAAGGTCAGTTTCCTTGTAATACAACTCTATATTAATCCAGAAATTGATGAAGGTTGATCCTTTAATATTTGGCCTCAAACAAAAATTTAAAAAGTTATCAAGCATAAAACCAAGTTTGCAACGTGCCTGTGGGGTTTCTTCAGTGATTGGCATCTTCTCAGGCTCCCCATATGTGGCACATGTACTAGAATATATCAAAGTCCTAACACCATGAGCAGCCATCGACTCTAGGACCACCAAGGTGTTTGAAGTAATTTTGTGATAATACCTACAAATCATGGGAATATATAGCATAAAGAACATAATTTGGAGATTAGTTTAAATCATGCAAAAACATCCCAATCAAAGATCAAGGAGTTAATTTTAAATGTCAAAAGACAAATGAGTTTTAATAACACAGCTAATGCAAATACAAGAGGACATTTGAATGGTGATGGTGTTAGAAAAAATCCATCTAGAGAACGAATATAAAAGTTGGATTTACCCGAAACCCATCAAGGAAATGAAAAGCAGGAATTTCATGGCAGATACACCGAAGGAAATGAAAAAAGATGAATTTACCCGAAAGTAAAAACAAAAGAACCTTAATTGGACATTGAAAGAGGCCAAGAAAATAACAAAAGAAGGGGGAACCCTGAAGAAGAACCCGTTTCCTGGTCTTTATTGTGAGGGAAGAACTGCGGGGTCACGGGAGCTGGTTCACTCTCCATAGAGCACTCTTTTCTTCTTCTTCGTGAGGCACCGAGAAATCGAAAATCTTGCTACTTCTCTTCTTTAACCCCGCTTTAACTTGCTCACCATCTTCTTCTTCCGATCCATCCTCGACCACCAAAGCTGAAGAACTTGAATTAGACATAAATCCGACCCTTTTTCCCTTGTCTTCATCACCGTCTACGAAAGTCTTCTGCGACAATCAATAACCCTTGGATTCATCGTCTCTCGATTGTTGATACGGCGAGTCATTGAGATCCCACATTTTCCCCTCTTTCTCAGCTTATAATCTCCACCAAAAAAAAAACAACAAACTTAAGAAAATATCCTCACCAAAAGAAAGAAAACCCAAAAAATTCAAAAAGAAAACTAGAATTGATTAACGAGGGGGGAAAGAGAAGTGGGAAAGGATGAAAATAATGGGGGAAATTAAAACACGACTCCTAAAGATGACACACATTTAAAACTATACTCCGTGTTTTTTTAAATTTTTTGGATTATGACTATTAAATATGGCACACATTATTATAAGTCATAAATCGTTCAGTTTTTTAAAAACATAACATTTTTTAATGACACACATGTTTTGCAAGTCATAAATTAGCGTGTGTCATCGTTCGCGTTATTAAAGATATATTTTCTTGTAGTGAGTCGAGTGTTCCCCTTCGTTGTCTCTTCACATTGCACCCTTATTGGAGTGGCTATAATTTACAATATATGTATATATACTCATATATGACATGGCAAATCAAAGCAGGAATTCAAGGCATGTTATATTCAATTATTGCTAATGCAATTTCCAATATTCACTAGGGAATTGTCAATGCTACATTTATTTTTATTCCTCTAATTTGTTTACTAAGTTCTCACAAAATTCAGGGTTTATGCTTCGAATGTAAAGATTTCCTTTATAACTCCCCTGTTAGCCAAACAAAGATATTCTACACAATTCTGGTTTAACACAATTTTCAAGATAAGGTTTTATTTGTTTATCCCTCACATTTAAATTTTGCATTGTCCCAATGCAATGAAAAATGCATGAACATGTGTATGCAATGACAATAAAAATGCAATGAAAACCAAAACTGCACAAACATAAAAATGCATGCACAATAGAAATTCATTGACAGTGTAAAATGAAATGCATGCAAAAATTTAAAAATTGAAATGAAATGAAAGCAGGCTCAATGGGATTATGTTTCGGACAATGTAGATAT